CTTCTGAACTTCTTCCAGTTCGAAGCCAAATTTCCTCTTACAATTAATTTAGCCGGCAATGGAATCATATGAATGCCTCGGGCAATTGCTGCTTGCCCTGGTTCTTCAGACAGACTTGTATGTTATTCAGCCATACTATTCACTCATGAGTTTCGAACAACGTGAGTTTCGCATATAACTCCGACATAACTCCTGACACCATGTAACGTCTGCTTTAGACTCTAGTTCTATCACTTTATTATCAACTAACAACTACAACTACATAGTTGCTCTTATATACACATAGCAACCGGGAACGGATATACATTTTGTATACATATCATTACAATGACATATCATTACAATTAGTCTTAATGGTCATGACTATAGTCATGTTTATATTCTTAATGGTCATGACTATAGTCTTAATGGTCATGTTGCTTGAGTGACGATATAATGTTCCTTGTTCGCTGCGCTCACTCATGCCATAATATCGTCCCTCAAGCAACATGACCATTAAGACCATAGTCATGACTATTAAGACTATAGACATGACTATAGTCATGACCATTAAGACTATAGTCATGGCCATTAAGACTATAGTCATGACTATAAGACTATAGTCATGACTATTAAGACTATAGTCATGACTATTAAGACTATAGTCATGGCTATTAAGACTATAGTCGTGACCATTAGGACTATAGTCATGACCATTAGGACTATAGTCATGGCTATTAAGACTATAGTCATGACCAATTAGGACTATAGTCGTGACGATTAGGACTATAGTCACGACCATTAAGACCATAGTCATGACTATTAAGACTATAGTCATGACTATTAAGACTATAGTCATAACTATTAAGACTATAGTCATGACTATTAAGACTATAGTCATGGCTACTAAGACTATAGTCATGGCTATAAGACTATAGTCATGACTATTTAGACCATAGTCATGACCATTAAGACTACAGTCATGACTATTAAGACTATAGTCGTGGCTATTAAGACTATAGTCATGACTACTAAGACTATAGTCATGACTACTAAGACTATAGTCATGACTATTAAGACTATAGTCATGACTATTAACACTATAGTCATGACTATTAACACTATAGTCATGACGATTAAGACTATAGTCATGGCTATTAAGACTATAGTCATGACTATGAACTATCTAGAGTGGCTCCGAGCTATTGAGAACTCGGCTCCGAGCTATTTAAAGTGACTCCAAGCCTATCGAGTTTGGCTCCAAATATCATACAATATCTTAGGATGTCAATATCTTAAGGAATCATGCAGTATCTTAATTAAGATGTCCTACAGTATCTTAGCAAATCAATATCTTAAATGATGTGGTTTCTTGCACTTCACTTGGTGGAATTAATATTAGAATGTTAGGGTTTGTAATCCAATCACTTGGATTACAAACCCTAACATTCTAATATACGATATCGATATAATTAGGATATCGTTTAGTATCTTAAGATATAAATATCTCAGGATATCAATATCTTAGGATATCATACAATATCTTAAGATATCATACAGTATCTTAGGATATCATACAATATCTTAGGATATCATACAGTATCTTAGGATATCATACGATATCTTAGGATATCACACAATATCTTAGGATATCACACAGTATCTTAGGATATCATACAGTATCTTAGGATATCATACAGTATCTTAGGATATCATACTGTATCTTAGGATATCATACAATATCTTAGGATATCATACAGTATCTTAGAATATCGTTCAGTATCTTAGGATATCATACTGTATCCTAGGATATCATACAATATCTTATATTAGGATATCATACAGTATCTTAGGATATCATACAATATCTTAGGATATCATACAGTATCTTAGGATATCATACAATATCTTAGGATATCATACAGTA